AGAAAGGATTGTGCAGGCCAGGTTGCCTTCCCTTAAGGCAGCGGTTCTCAACCTTCCTAATGCCGCGACCCCTTAATACAGTTCCTCGTGTTGTGGTGACCCCAACCATAAAATTATTTTCGTTGCTACTCTATAACTGTAATTTTGCTACTGTTATGAATCATAATGTAAGTATCTTTTTGTTTTTCGATGGTCTTAGGCGACCCCTGTGAAAGGGTCGTTTGACCCCCAAAGGCGGCGCAACCCACAGGTTGAGAACCGCTGATCTACATGGCTATGGTCCACAGATCTGTGTACACCTCAGGCACTAAATAAGTTACGTGTGTTGAATCAATGTGTATGTGGAATGTTTTCACCTATTTGGAAATAAGGGTCCCCAGATTGATTCCACATTATTACACATCCACCCAAGACAAAGATGCCAGTTCCGTGTCCCCATGTGTACCAACACATGGGTTAATCGTGGTTCAGGCCTCATCCTGGGCTCGGCAGTATGTTTGCCATGCCCCAGGGAGGAATCAAAGGGCGAATATTTCTTTTTCATATATCAATTGTATGGGACTTAATCTGATCATAGAAGTAATAAACATATATTCATTGAAAAATTTAAAACAAATTTAGAAAATAGTTACAATAACCTCATTAGTCAAATATAATAGCTGGTACCATTTTCATGTGTAGCTTTCCAATACTTTTCCACATTTGTAGATACTTTAAAGACATTTGAATATAATAGTCTATTAGAGACCTCTTTCTCCCACTTTCTGTCCAGAATTTTAAAGGGGAACAGAAATCCTGCTAGGATTATAGACTATAATGGATTTAACCGTGTTTCCCTGAAAATAAGACCTAACTAGAAAATAAGCCCTAGCCTGATTTTTCAGGATGCTCGTAATATAAGCCCAACCCAAACATAAGCCCCAGTTAAGATCATCAGCCAGACATGACTGTTGGAATACATGTAGATTTTGTACATGAATAAATGTAGATTGTTGGAACAAAAATAAATATAAGACCCAGTCTTATTTTCAGGGAAACACGGTGATTGCTTTCTTTTGGAGATTTGGGTTGATGCCAATTTTGATTTTTTACGTTTAGAAACTCCTTTATAAGCATTTCTGTGGTTCATTCCTTGCGCCCATCCATTGTTATATGCTTTGAATGAGGAATACTTTTACCGTGAAAATACAGGTCATTGATATTTCCCTTGCCACATTTATTTACCATTTAATGTCCATTAAGGAAAACCAATGCCCTTTATTCCAGAAAAAAAGTTATCCTATTTTGATCCTGGCCTTACAAAGGGATCTTCATAAAGCAAATGCCTGGTCTAGAGTGAGAATTCATTATTGAAGGAAGAAAGTGATGATACGTACCCAACAAACGAAGAAGAAGAAAAAGAACTCCCAGGGCATACGACTTGAGTTCAGGGCTGACGGTCCTATGTGCAAAGAGATGAGGGGGAGAGAGGACGAGATTGTTACCAACCCACCTTAATCAGCAGACTCCAGAGCCATGCCCTGCTGTCCATCACAGCCATTCCTTACGGGGCTGGTTTTTTTTTGTTTTTTTCCCCTGCTTTCCCTGACTAGTTTTAAAAATAAGGACAACTGTAGTGACAATGTAAGTGTTTAATAACTGGAGCTCATCTTGTCATTTGAAGGATGGAATGCAAATTTGGTCCATAAAGTCGTCATTTAAAGACACCTTGTTTTGGCTGGGACAGGGAAGCGTCTTAGGTTGACACGTCAGCTGGGTACACCTTGCCTCTAAGTGCCTCCTTATGCGGAGGAGAATCCAGGCTGGCCTGACAGAGGTCATACAAATGAAAACTTTACCATATTTAGGAAGCGCCTGAGTTTATGTCTAAACCCTGAGCAAAATGTACAGACTTCAAGTTTCTCTAATTTTCCACATGATTTCTAAAGCTTCTATAAGAAATGCACATTTTTGGCAAACAGGCCAAACCCATGAACGCCTCTATCATTCTCTGGTCACTTTGTGAAATCAACCAGGCCAGCATGGTTTGATACACTGATTTTTCCTGCTTGTGGGTGCCTTCTGTGTGTGCACTGCACAGTATCACTTCACAGGAATTTCTAATGAAAAAGAAACTACCAGGAATGCACCCACCCCAAGCCCATTCCTGAGATCTGATGGGTTCTGTCCACGTGCACATGATGTAGAATGACCCTGCACATATAATTTACATTCAATAGTTCATTTCATAAACACTTTCCACATGCTGAAGAATTTTCATGATCACGTTGAGCTGCGGTCCTATAATTTAACTACTCTGATTCAGGTTTTTCTGATATTGTAGTTAACATTGTAATAAAAGTCTGCACTGAGCCTTTATTCTCTGGTAGAGATGTGTTTTCTTAAGTGGCAAGAAGTAGGGTTACCGCATAAAAAACCTGAGCATTTTTATGACTCCTGACTCACACTGCCATGTTGCTTCTTTGAAAGAAGCAATAGGCTTTGATTTTCGGTGCTACCAGCAAGATGTGATTTTACCAGTTTTGCTACAGCCTTGTGAGCACTGGATGCGAATTTGTGAAATCTAGTTTTCAAATTGAGTAAGGGTACAATGGCGATTTGCTATTGTACTGTTAATGCTCCTGCACATTAAGAAGGCTTTGTTAATGACCTTCTAGATAATGTAAGTACTTCCTATAAATCCCCTTCCTGGGGATCATAACACAGACCAGGAAATGAGGTAGGAACAGCGAGGAGAAACGGAGCCCGAGAAACGAGCCCAATCTGTGGCTGGATGGGGGCTGGACAGACTGGGGCTGGTCCAATGCCATCTTCCTTTAACTCTTAACCACGTGCTCTCTGCAAAAATCAGTGCAGGGCCACAGTCCCTTTCAAAATCACCTGTGGAGTCCATTGCTGGGAGGGCAGGAACGCGCAGTGTTCTCCCTTGGGCCCTGCGTTCTCATCTCGGAGTGAGGTCCCTATCCCATGTAACTGATTCCTAGCAGCTGAGGGAATCTGGCTGGCTCCTAAGGCTCCTATGGTGTTGGAAGCTCTGATCTCCAGGAGACCTGCCTAAGTGTGCCAGGCAGGAAAGGGCAGTGGGGAGGTTGGCTCTCAGTTCCCTGGGGACCTGGTAACCTTACCTGATAAGGATGATGACCGAGGGCGTCTGCGCCATTGCCCCGATCATGCTGCAGACACACATCACGCACAGGAAGGTGAGGAAGGCCTCTTGGCACCCGGGGCTGGGGCATTTTCCGGGAACCACGGTCGCGTTCTCAGGGGGGATGGTCGTGAGGCACACACAGCCGGTGAGATTCTGGAAGGAAGCATTCAGCCCTTTTAACTGGGGGCATCTCCAGTCTAAATCCATCAGCTCGTGCTGTCACAGCCTCTATGCATCCTGCAGCATCCCATTAATTAGGCCTGAATAAACAGGTTAGCTTTTTAAGGAGGCTGCAAAACTCATGCAAATAAAGGAATATTTACGGGGAGGAGAGCTGATTCCCCTGGCTTCTTTCATTTCCCTGCTCAATCCCTCAGTAAGCTGCACCGTAGAAAAATGCCCCCCCCCAACACAATTAGAGAGGAAATTGTGCTTCTGCAGTATGATAAAACATTGCCGAATTAACATTGTAATTACTTGCCAATTTGTCCTCTCTTTTATGGAGTTATAATGATGCTGAAGTGTATTAAAAGAAGTAAATCAGGTCACCTGCATATTGTTCCTGGTTCAGTGCCCAGTGTGGCACTTGGGACAAAGGATGTGCACTGTCACGTATGAAGTTGCTGCAATTGTGGGGCTGCAAAAGGGGGAGCTAATGGGCAAGTTCTCGAGTGGCCGAGAAAGCCAAGAGGGCTAAGAGATGCCAGGGAGCTTAGAATGCGTCGTGGGGCGCAAGCTACAGCCCAGCGAGATGCATTTATTAATATATGATCAGAGAGGAGGAAGAACAGCCACTGTATTCCATTTGATCTTCCCATGGACTCTGGCCCAGCAGCCCCTGTTCCCAGGCAGGGTCCACACTCACGCTCCAGGAATTTCTGATGCCAAAGGGAGCAGCAGGGGCAGGGAGAGGCAGTGCCGCGCAAGCTCCAAGCCAATTAAGGTTCGATAATAATAGTGCAGGGGCCTTTCATGAATACGAAATGAAAACAATCATAAATGATTCATTGCTTTTCTTTCTAGGGCTGCTCAGCTTTCAGAGAACACCAGGACGTGAATTCTCCCCAGGGTCAAACAGCCCCTCCCACCCTCACAGTTCTCCCCTCCCCTCCCCTTCCTTGTGTAAATAGACTGAACACAGCATGGGGGGTGGGGGGTTACTGTCATCCCTGGAAAGGTGCTGAGGCCCTGCCCACATGCGCACAGATGCCCTGGCCCTTCCAAACCCAGCGCTGATACCTGCCCAGCTGAGCCAACCCTCCTCCGGGCCCAGCACTTCCTGTATGAGGGCACAAGCCACACTCTACGCCCCACCGCATAGAAAGCCCGTGGTCCTCTGACACGAGATGGGAAACACCCTTTCTCTGGGCTTAGGTGATACAAGAGAGCACAGTGGGTCCTGGGCGTTGTGCTCAAGAAGCCGTGGTGACTCTGGGTGCATAAGGAGGTTTTTATGGAAGAATCTTCCACCCAGGTGTCCACAGATGAAAAGCATACAGTTTCCTCACTGGAAGAGATGACTCCCTCCAGTGGGGTTCCGTGGTACTGTCCCAAAGGAAAAAGGAAGCAGAGGACAGCTCTGCAGCTATTAACTGGGCAACTAAATGGGGGCACCTAGACCTGCAAGAGCTCTGAGCAGTAGGGACTTTGAAAATAGAGAGATAACCTGGGTGTAAGAGAACAATTCACTTCCAGTGAGGTGGCAGAGGTTGGGGTTCTAATTCTCACCCTGCCTGTATTCCACAGTCCCGTTTGGCCCGTCCAGAAGGCAGGTGGATTTTGGAAAGGGCCTGCAGACGACCATGGCCTGAACCATACCCCCCCCACCCTGCCGGGAAGCCCCTAATATGCTCACCATTAAGAAAGTGTGCCAGGCTCCAGATTATTGTCCCTCACCTGCAAAACGCCCAAATCTCCCTTCTCCGTGTCAAAGGAATATGTCTCCCCAGTTGGCCATTCTCCAGGGAGAAATGCAGTGCCCTCTGCCTCCAGGGGAGTTGGAATCTCTGCCGCAGAGTGGCAGGATCTAGTTTTACTGGAAAAGCGAGCACCCCGATATACTGTGTTGATAATCAGGTGACCACTGTGCTTACAGAGCAACAGGCCTGACAGGCTTGGGGACCCACGGTGACCGAGACGATAACGTGAGACGGGTTTCTAAGTCTTATAAGAACTTATCCTACAGACTTGCCTGGGTACAAAACGACCTAAGTTCAATACAAGTCACAGCTGCAAGCGAGAGTCTGAATGCCTAGCAACAGGGACTGCTTACATAGAGTCTAACAGATTCACATGGTGGAAGATTACATAGCTGTGAAAAAGGTGTGAGCACGCTCTTTATGTACCACAGGGAAAGAATGCCAAGATAAATCATTAACAACAAAACGCCACAAAACACAAGGTACAGGAGACCTAATCAGCGCACTAAAATCCTGAAGGATTTACTACAAGAAACCAACAATAGTAGACACCTGCTGGGCAGCGAGGTGGGTCGAAAAGTGGGTGAACAGGAGACAGAGGTGGAAAGGAGTGTTCCCATGCCCTCTTTTTTATACTTTTTGATTTTTGAACCATACAAATGTATCATCTTGTAAAAAAAATTTAACACACTAGAATATTAAAAAATAAAGAAGTCAATAAAACACTAGTACAGGCACTGAAAATCCTATGCCTGCTCCACATTCAGTCATTCATCTAAATTGAGGAATGCTTCTATTCACATATGATAATGGGGATAAGTACAGTAAAGCTGGAGACCATAAAAATAGAAGAATGACTCTCTGGAATCTTGGATTCCATTTCTGCTGCTGACAGAAGTCGTGAGTGTGCTGTTTTGACAGTTCATATTACAAGCACAAAACACTCGTCAGCAGCGTTTCAAGATTACTGATAAATTAAATTGTTTTTGTTTGGGTTCCTCCCCCCCCCCCCCCCC